ATTTTCTATCTGGCATAGGCTGAAGCCTTTTACATGCTAATTCAAAAAAAAAAACATTTTGTATTCCGATGCTCATTGTAAAACCTAAAAAGTTTGCAAGGTTTCGTTTTAACAAGTCCTTGAAAGATATTACTGCAGGAAGAACAAAACTCACTGTTTCTCTCCACATTCAGTTTCCACAGTGTTCTCAGTTGTTCTGTGTCTCTGAGAGGTTACATTAGGTGAGAGTGAGCCACCACTAAGACGCCTAAAGACTCAGTGTGCAGTGTTGTGTCTTATTATTGTGAGATCTGATGTTTGTCATCAGTGGTTATTCAATTTCTACTACTTAATTCTGTCACGGTGGCGGCGGAATACACTGTCTGTGGTCCACCAGTCCATCAGAGGGCAGCATATACAGGCAAACAACAAATTTACACTCACATTCATACGTATTGCCCGATCACGTGGGAACATTGAACCACAACTTGCTTGATTTGATGAGTGGACACTGATGATAGCCATATTCAAATCTTGACTGCAGGATCTGTGGGGAGCAGTGGTGCACAGACTGACAAGAGTGACCTCGAACACTTCAGAAAAGTTTTTTTTTTTTTTCAAGTTTTAAGACAGTTTCGGGTCATTGATTGTGGACACACAGAAGAGAAACTTCCACGACCATTTGTCCTCAACAGTTCAGTAACTGTTGGTTTTTAGAAGAGATGGCACAGAGTGATGACACTGATCAGCCAGAGAGCCTGAGTGGAATTCATGGAAACGTGTCACAGCAATAGATAATGAAGCATGACTGTACCCATACACACATACTGTATATGTGGAGTAGATGTGAAAGTATTGCAGCACAAGTAATGTACATAAAATGTAAAGGTCTAGCCTGAGTAGTGAAATCAATCAATAAATAAAAAGATTTTTACATACAAGATGATCACTCTCTCTGCCAATGCCTCATTCTGCTGCAGCGACCACTCAGCTCCACTTAGGTGCAATAATTCTTCTCACTGGGCTCAAGCAAATGTAGTTTTCCTTTTAAAACATATATCTGAAAAGCAAAATGTTGGTGTTGGTTTTTTTCCAGTTTAACTTCTGTCTCTTTCTCTTTATAGACCCGTTAATAAAATGCACCAAGATCTGTTTTTATCCCAGGGGATGCCACTAGTTTTTGGAGCACAGCACATAAAACAAAACAAGCTGTCACCACATGAAAGGACTGTTGAATATTCATAAGGTTTGATCCGAGTTGTTATCATTAGACCTCTCTTCATATGTGAAATGTAAAGCCAACACTGGTGTGCAATTCACTTCCTTTTATTCAGGATGCATGCACTTTCCCCCCTTTCTATTCTTGCTGTAAAAACACTTCAACTCTTTCCAGTAAAATATGTGAAACCTGTTTCACCTATCCATCAAAGTAACAAAACAATTAATTCTACAACATGTCTGAATTTAATGGATTATAATCATTGAAATGAGAAGAAATATGTAGAGAATGATTTCAAAACTCTCACTTATAGAAACTGTGGATCCCCCCCCCCCTCCTCTATTTTATTTAAAATTTTCACTTTCATATATTTATGTGTATGCATTCAGTACTTATGAGAAAAATTGCTTTTGTGTTTAAGGTTTTAAACACCATTCCTTTCCTGCAGAGGGTGCTATGAGCACGATTTCAATGCCCTGGTTGAAGGACTACGAACACTGATAAAACGTTGTCATTTTAGGTTCATGTAATTCTTTAACTCTATGAAGTAACACATTAAACTTAGGAGAATATCCACTGGAAAGAAACAAAATGAACCTATTTTAGGTTCATGTAATTCTTTAACTCGATGAAGTAACACATGAAACATCTGTGCAAAAGGGTAAACCACAGCAGTCGTGTATAAGCCTGAAGTTTAGTAGCAAATTGAGTATAGAGGGATTGCTAACTGCAAGTATTATGTAAGCTCTGATAAACGTGTGTCCCGTCAAGCAGGACATTTCATTCATGTCCGTTCTAGTTTAGTTCATGAGCTTTCCAGTCTCCTTACTACAACACGACACATGCTCTCTCAACAATATCTGTCTTCATCACGGTTCTACAAAACAACTGTTTTTTATAGAGATTTTGTGGTCGTTTACTGACATCTAATGGACAATAGTGGTTGTTTATGCTCTTTGCTGTGAAAGACACTTTTTATATTTCTTATTAGATCATTAAAACTTTATAAATGTGTTGGATCATTAGAAATACCTGCTCTCATTTTTTGCCTATCCCTGAAAATCAACCTAAAAATCTGAACTTCTCAGAAATCCACTGCCAGTGTATAAAGCCACTGGACTTTGGACATGGTGGTGATGTTGGAACTAAACGTACAAACACAGGCGTTCTATCTTAGAAATCCACACATTTAAAAGAACAGCAACAAGAATGTATTAATAAAATGTTAATTATATTTGAATTATATTTTAAATAAGAAACAACTTAGAAATGGTACCTACAAAAGGTAGTAAATTCACTACTGTACACAGTTTTGCAATCGCATTTCAGTTTGTTTGCAAACATTTACAAAATACTTTAATGTCTGTGAGTGTTTTTCTTGTGGATCTTGTGGATTATTGGATATTGAACTTAATTTATTATGTACCAGAATGCTGCCAGAAAAGTCTGTATATGTGAGTAGGTGTGGACTGACCACCCAATCAACCAAAGAAACAAGTATTAGCCAATGAGAGGCAGAGTCACGTATGCTTCTGCCAACCAAAAAGGGTCAAATAAAAATAACTTGACAATTGCTGGAATATTGTATTGAATATACAATACAATATATTGAATATATTGTTTGTTTGTTTGCTTGTTTGTTTTTGTAGCCTGGAGGCTTATGTGACATGTTTACACCCAATTGCGTGAGTATGGGTGACTCAGAACAGCGAATACGATTGACTGAACGTTAGTTGGGGCGGGCACAACAGGTAAAAAATAGAATCACTATATTTGCCTCATCAGTATGATGATTATTTTTGTAATTACGGGCGTATGATCATTCCCTTAGTTATTTTGCGTAACTGGTAAGTAAACAGTGACACGTAAAATAACAAGTATATGCCTCCGACGAATTTACAGGAGGAACAGGACTAAAGTCGCTTGAGAGAATAGCTTATGGTGCTACACCCGGAAACTGAGCTCCAAAAAGCAGTCTGCCCTTTCAAAATAATATCCAACGCATATTCCTCCAAAACACATACATTCGCCAGGTTGTTTAATCTCTACAAGGAAAACATCTTTATTTATTTTTTTATTTATGTTCTACAAGGAAAACATCTTTATTTATTTTCTTTATGTTGCAACACCACAGCGGATGCGAAGCAACAAAAACGGACTAACTTACATTAGAAGGTCGAGTAAGATTTTACTTCTGAAACAGCGGTGTACGTATGTTTTTTTTATTTTCCTTGTTCAAGTTCAAGAAAACTAGCTTCTGTTTGTGTTTATAAATCTGTGTATATAAGCGGGAATGTATGCATAGGGCGTGCGTATGTTTTTAATGACGTTTTGGCAGTGTTTGGTCGTTTACAGCAGACCCGGATATGTGTGAGGGTGAGACTAAGAGGTGCAGAGAGAGAAGCTCCACTGAGAGCAAACGTGGAGTTATTACAAGTTCCTGCCAATTGTTATTTTCCAAATAATGTTCTTAAGAGTACGCAGGCGTCCGTTTGGTAGCCACTTATTGTTGCTTTAAAAATTACGCAGTTTATACACACCCTGCTGGAACTTTAAATACCGTCGGAACATCTTTTGAATTAGTCACAAATAAAAGCAGATGTGAAACACATACGTGGTTACTTCCCCCTATCGTAGAGTAATTTATAGTAAAAGGGAAAAAGGTTTTGTCAGTCTTGTCAGGACTTTGGTATATTTGAATGAATCGTGGGTCACTCCTAAGATTAGGGCTGTCATTTTAGTAACTAACGTATTTGCCAATACTGTAACCAAGAAACTGTCACTCCCCTCATATTCATATTAGCTGTTACACAATCCACATACAAGAACATCATTATTGGTGTTACACACCACAGTAAGACGGCATTTAGACAAGCTGCCTTACACAAGAAGGATCTCATTGAAAAGGAATCTTTCCCTGCAAGAAAACAGAGGTACTATGAAAATGTTAATTTTATAAGTTTGGGTTTTCATGAACTGGTTTTGAACAAAACAATGAACATATATTTATATATTCATTGTTTTCATCACTGAATGGAATTGTTTTTCATTTTCTTTTTTTGACTTGACAATGACAAAAAAGATGCTGCTGTTTGTTTGTCAAATGTTTTGTACATTATATACTGCTTTTTAAGAGGTTTGTTTTTTGGAACTTTAGAAAAGCTTTGGGCTCTTTAGATAGTTTCTACATGTGGTTTTTCCAGTTGGTCAAGTCTGTGATGACTAGGTGAAAGCTTAAAGCATACATGAACAGTAAAAAAAAGTAACTGATACTAAAAGAGTATTAAGATATTTTAATCATAAACATTGTCAAATGTTTTGCACTTCTGATCTTGTCTAAAACCATTTCTGTGTCACTGTGTCCTCATTACTTATGACATGTGGGGAAAATTGCTAAGTAAATACCACTAGTACTGCACTTCCAACTGCACTAAATAGTTATGATGCAATCGCCACATGTTTCAGACATTTTCAACATGTCAGCACAACTGAATCTGACAAAGAGAAAAACTGCAGAGCAGTTTGGTCCTGGAGCAGCCACAACGGAGGGGGGCAATTTTTTCCCATTACTCTACATGTAGCAGTCACTGTGTGACATTTGTTAGTGCACAATGTCAGCTGAGACTGGCCATGAGCATGACTTTGATTGTAAGCAGACCTTTGCCCTGTCATGATCATTCCTGTGGAGCCCCCCTCTGTTGCTCCAGCCCCATTCCCCCTCCCTTTGCCTACTTATTTGAATCCTAATGGCCAGTTTCCCACCTGGAGATCACCTCCTCCCCGAACCGCCGTATTTAAAGANAAAAAAAAAGCCACTCTGCCAGACAGGGGTCACTAATAGCTATTTATAATTCATATAAATTCATTGGTATAGATTAGTCCTTAATTAAGTGCAAGTGCTTTTCCAGAAGATCACCATGGAAAAAGGTATGAGACACGTCATGATGATGATGAAGATTTTACTGATGTCAGGATCAGTTTGTGTTGCCTGAAAGAATTTCTTAAAGCCAGCTGATGTAACTGATGGGGCCAAAGTTTGGTTTGTCGGAACAACCACGTTGCTTTGTGCTGATTGTTCCCTAGAGCTGGTGGAAGTAATCCTCTGTTTGTGTTAGAATGTGCCAGAGATGTGTCAGAGGCTGTCGTTTGATCCAATGCTAAACTGTACCACTGCTCATGTTGGATGTAGGCAGCAGGTTGAACTTCTTTGTTAAAATTCAGTTTAATATATATATATATATATATATATATTACTGTATAATAATCCAAATGTACTGGACATATATTTCCTTATTTCCTTTAAATAGAAAATGCTATTTCTTATTTAAAACAATTAATAATTGATTGGTTTAAATATTTTTGCTCCTCTTGAATTAGTGGTGTTCTGCTGACGTCACACTAGAATGTATTGCGTGCATCTTCCTCACGGCTGACAGATGAATTTTATCATATATGATGGATCATTTATATGAAAGCTGTCTTGGATCAGACCTCATAAAGTTTCTTCTTTTCTTATTGCAGTAAACTATGTAAATCACTCACCCTAACCCACATCTCTGCCCTGCTGTTATTTTGATGTTAATTCATACAAATCAGTTAAGCATTTTCATATAATAGAGGGGAAAAAAACATATTTCACAACATATTGGCTCTGTTTTGGATTAAGTCGCACCACACACTCTTCTTGTGTTGCAGCCTGGAGTAGCACCTGCGTACTTAATGGCGCCTCCTGTGGCAGCCTGTGTCCGTTGCAAAGACTTGCTGTAAATTTCCCTACTGTGGTATGAATAAGGGACTCTAGTACTGTTAATTATTAACACATTTGGTGCCAAGTTTTCAAAACAGGTCAGAGTAATGGTTAACCAGTGACAACCAGATGTGTTCTGGCATGTCAGAGTTCAAACTTTATGTTAACACAGAGCGTCACTCGTGTGTTACATGTGTAAATGAACATGTGTCACACTAACCCCACGTTACATCAGCATCTGTGCGCTTTGCAGTGCGAAACAACATGGCAGCGTTCTGGAAGGAACACTCCACAGAAGCCACCGTAGAGGAGATGATGCTGGATACTCAAGCCAGGGACCTGACTCAGCAGGAGATGCCTGAGATTCTCTCCTTACTGCCCAGACTGACTGGATACAAGGTGCTGGAACTGGGAGCTGGCATTGGGTGAGCACACAACTCCATGATTCACATTCAGATCCAGAAACCTTTATTTAACAGTGACAGTCAGCAAGTTATTTATACAGTTCATACATTTTGTTTTTCATTTTTGAGTTTGACACATTTGTGAAATCAAATTGCTGTTTTTATGGGGTTTTTTTTAAAGGAGATCCAGTTTAGAGGAAAAAATTAAGCAGACGCTAATTGACCATTCAATAGAATCTTGGTTTTAGGTGGTGTTCATAGACAATTTTGCCTTCAGTCTGTCCCTGATTGGACAATTATGGAAACACTGGCATCACAATACTTTAACAATGTTGGTGTGTAACGTTACCAAATGGGTTGATAAACACTGTGGTATCTTTGTCTCTTCAGTCGTTACACCAGCCAACTGCTAACTAAAGCAGCCCATGTCACCGCTGTGGACTTCATGGAAAGCTTCATTGAGAAAAACAGAGAAGTGAACGGTCACCATAAAAATGTAACATTTCTTCATGCTGATGTCACAAAGCTGGAAATCCCCAAAACCAGGTGTGGATTTGGTAAAAAGATAAAGGACGGATGTTTGACTGCTGTGCTGCTGAATGTTCTGTTATTTCACTGTTTGATGGATGATGTGTTAACTTTCCATGACTGGTGCTACAGTACATGATGGTTTTGTCAAAATGGATTATTTAAAGAAAAAGAAGAAGAATATTTATTTATTTATCAACCCATATATATATATATTTGTCTTTTTGTCCCGTCAGCCTGGATTTCATCTTCTCCAACTGGCTGCTCATGTACCTGAGTGATGATGAGATACAGCCCTTAATGAAGAAAATGCTGAGCTGGCTGCGTCCCGGTGGCTTTCTTTTCTTCAGAGAGTCCTGTAACCACAGATCAGGTAGTAAATGTATAATTAATTAAAAATTAAAAGTTAGCTTCAGCTGATCCAAATTCTGTCATCTGAACAATCCAACATACATAACATATGATCATATGTTGGAGAAGCATTTTGGTTGAATATGTTGTGTTTTACCAAGGTGACAAAAAGAGGAACTTCGACCCCACCATTTACCGCAGTGAGGATTGGTACAGTCAACTGGTGACATCAGTACACATGGAGGAGAATAACACAGACCAGAAATTTGGTTTTGACATTGTCCTGAAAAAGAAAGTTTACGCTTATGTCCAGGTGATTGGATTTTCCCAGATATTCAATAAGATAAATCCTAAATAATAATAATTAAAAAAAAAACATAATAACTGTTCCTGGTTTAACTCCATCCTCTCTGTCATTTGTCACCTGCTTACATTCCAGATGAAAAACAATCCTAACCAAATCTGCTGGCTTCTTGAGAAGGTCCAGCCTTCAGAGAAACAGAATGGTTTCCACACATTCCAGCAGTTCTTGGACAACCAGCAGTACACCAAGCGAGGCATCCTGTGCTACGAGAGGATTTTTGGGGCCGGCTACGTCAGCACGGGTGGCCCCAGCACCACGAAGGTGGGACATGTGTCTGGATACTGTCAACAGAAATCAGCAAACATCTCATGCACAACATGTTCATGTCCTGATCTTTCACAAATTAAATAACATGTACGGAAGCTCCAGTTTTGTTAATCTGATTTGTTTTTATATTAGGTCGTAAAATTTTAATATTAATGTTACTGTTCCTGTTTGACAACCTTAAATATTTAGATTTTTTTGAGCGATTACCAGATGTACTGAAAGAACACTCTTTTAGAATGTCTACCCCAGTGGTTTCAAAATGGAGGTTGGGCCCCCTCTAGAGGCACAGAGCAATTATGGGGGTCACAGCAAACCAGATTAATTTTTATTTGAATATGATATCTATTTCTGCCACAGTGGGTTATGTTTAGTGTTGTAGTAATTTGTTGGTAATTTTTATTTTTTATTTTGTTATTTCAATGAAATAGCAGTTTTAAATATAGTTCAATGGCAAAGCATTATTTGTGCATGCGTTGATGTGGGGCAGCTCAACAATACTCCTATATATAGGCTCATATTTATATTTTTTGATTAATTGTCATGACAGGAGTTTGTGGACATGTTGAACCTCAAACCTGGACAGAAAGTTTTGGATGTTGGTTGTGGCATCGGGGGAGGAGATTTCTACATGGCAAAGGTCAAACACTCTGTCATTGTTTCACGGAGGCAGTGGAACAGCATTAACAGAGAAGCGATGTAATGATTCCAAATGTTGTATTGTCTTATTTTAGACCTTTGGTGTGAAGGTGCTCGGCCTGGACCTGTCAGAAAACATGGTGGAAATCGCTATGGAGAGAGCGCTCAAAGAAAACCTGCCATCAGTACATCTGAATGTTCCTGATTTTGTTTTCTAAACTGATAATAGATACAACTAAAATCCTTTATTGGTTTTTTCTGACATCTGTCCTCACGTGCTCCACATTAGGTCCAGTTTGAGGTGGCTGATGCCACTAAGAGGACATTTCCAGAAGGTTCCTTCGATGTTATCTACAGTCGGGATACAATCCTGCACATAGATGACAAGCTTGCTCTCTTTCAACGCTTCCACGTGAGCATTTTCACAGACATTTCATAGTTGCTATATTTTATGTCATTAAAGCATTTTTTTTAAAATTGGTATTTCTCTGCTCAAGTCTTGGTTAAAGCCTGGTGGAAAGTTGCTCATCAGCGATTACTGCTGTGGCGAGAAGCCCTGGAATCCAGAGTTTGAGGCCTATGTCAAAAAGAGAGGCTACATCCTTTATACGCCTTCACAGTACGGCAAGGTACGTCAGGGCTGAAGTCCAAGCCTGAACATTCTCATTTCCAAACTGTTGGAAGTCAGTAAAAATATTTTTACAAACTAATTAGGGATGTCCAATGTTGGCTTTTTGCTGATATCTGATATGCTGATGCTGAGGTAAATGTCTCAGGACCCTACGTACGATTCCAGCAAATTCGAAAGAAAACCCATTGATAGCATTGTGTTATCGGATTTTCATTATCGGAGGAAAAACCGATAACGATCTTACTAATATTACATAATTATGCTAATATCACCTGACCAATATTATCGGATGTCCATTAAAAGTAATCAATGTTTGAATGTCACTTTTTACCGCTGAAGTTAACACACAGTTAAAGGACAAAAGACAATACAACAGAGAATGATTAGACGTGAATAACCCCCCCACCCGGCCCTCCTCTTTCTCTCACTCTTAGGTCATTGAAGAAGCTGGCTTCCGCAATGTTCAGGCCACTGACCGCACAGAGCAGTTTATCCAGGTGTTGAAGACAGAGCTGCAGAGGGCACAGGCCATGAAGACCCAATTCATTCAGGTTAACAAGAAGGCACACAGCACCAATGTTCAAAAACACAAAATAACCTTTCCAAGGGTCTTACATATCACTCTGTGTGTGCGTGTTTGTGTGGTTGTGTGTGCGTGGGTGTAGGAATTCTCGGAGGAAGATTATTTTGCAATCGTCAACGGATGGAGTGACAAACTGAAACGTTCCAACAGTGGAGCTCAACGGTGGGGTCTCTTCTACACTACAAAGGATTGAATTTATTGTCTGCAAAAATACCAGTCTTAGATAAACGTAGGCCTCGTTATACACAGTATACACAGAACACAGTGTACACAGTGTACACAGTGTACACAGGGCCAGACAGAAATAATTTAACAATAAAGTATTTAACTTACCTGGAGTGACAAGTCCTTTTTTTTTTTTTTTCAAATGCGTCACACCACACACCGATGCAGAGACAATAACGTACATTCATTTATACTATTGTAGATCTAACTTTCATGTCATGAATGCCTTTTGTGAGAGAGATTTTAAAATTAAGTATAAACGACCATGAGGTTGGCAGAAACTAAGGTTAAATAAATTAAATTCTAACCACAAAGTATACAAGTAAATTTGGCCTGAACTCAAGATTGCTCTGTAACTGATCTTTTTGAACAATTCAATTCAACATTCAACACTAGACAGACTGGCTGTTCACACACGTAAATACAGAGTACTGAATGTTATTCACCAATGATGATAAACATGAAGATCAGCGTTGACCTGAAGAAGATTTGGGCTGTGAAGTCGCTTTATTCTCTTATTCTTTTAGAAAAAAAACAATCATTTGAGTTTGGCACAGTTGCTTTAATCAGCGGGAAAAGAAAAACGACCAGGTCAACGTAATAATATAGGAAATATATAACACTTATTGAGGTACATAACAGTACAACCATTTTCGTTTGGCGCTAGAATCGCTATTGTTGCATTCTTGCAAGAGTTGATCAGAGAACTGATTCAGAAGATTAAAATCCTCGTTTTGTTTAGTTGTATGCCACAAGATGGCAGCAAATCGAATGATTAAAATACCAAAGGCTCTCCGTCTGACTGCTCGTTATCTTTTGTTCATATTTATGCCTTTTTTTAATCAAATTAAGGACACTGACAAATTTACAGTTTCATTCTTTTTTGTTCTGACCTATACTGTATGTGTGTATAGTAATTGGTCTATTGACTGTGTGTAGGATTATATGTACGGTAGGTTGTAGACAGTGGGATTTTTAAAGATGTAATTATATATATAATATGTGACATTGTGATTTGTAGCAAATATGTGTTGCCATGTGTAACAGGAGATAAGTTATTTATGTGTAACAAAGTTTAGCAATAAGTAGCAGGCAGCTACGAAGAATATTCAAAATTAATATATAGACACATACATACAGTATGTACAGTATATAGCTCTTACATGTGGTTAAAGACCGGTTATATATACAGTATATATATATACAGTGTATATATATATATATATATGTGTGTGTTTATATGTGTATATATGATAATATAATATTTGTATGTCTTTAGCTATATGTATTATGTGTATATATTTATATTAATATATTAATTAATTACTACATTATTCCCCTTCCCACACACACACACACATATACACACCGCCGTGGAAAAACTTCGGACACCCCTCTCTTGCATCGTGCTGCAGCCGAGTCAGAGACAACTGATCACACTCCCCCATCCTCCCACATGTCTTTAGTCTCACGTCTCCTTCTCTTCACCCCTCCCCACCCCACAGCCACTGTCCTTAAATAGGACGACCCGCAGGAAGGAGCAGAAGAGGAACGTGTCCACTGACAGGTAGTGTACACCGCTATGACTGCAACACTTCTGCTGCTGCCGCTGCTGCTGCTGTTGCCGCTGTTCGCCGCCTCTGCCGCTGGAGCACCGCCGCCCGCAGCCACAGTGAGAGAGTATTTTGTAGCAGCTGTGGAAATCGGCTGGGATTATTCTCACCTGGAGGAGGATGCTGACCCGCCGTCTGACCAGAGGTAAGTGTTTGATGAATGACTGGCTGTCCACGAGAGGATTTAATCTGTCACTCAAATTTTCGTTCAACTACATAGTTATAAAAATTAATATATAACGGGGACAAAGGCAAAGTAGAACGTACTCTAAGTTACAGAGTTTCTCTTTATCTTCAAAAACTGAGGAAGAAACTGAGAAAGGGTCAAGTTTTTGTTGTCATTTCATTGTCTACACTTTTAAAACTTAAAACAAATTAAGTGTGAGATTTGACAAGAGTGAAATGTGAATGAGTTTTATTAACTGTACTTATATTCTTTAATAGGGCTTATACTATGTATTTATTTAATTATCCCCTATACTATACCGATCTGTTTGACTTTTTACATTTAGAACTGACGATTAGTGTGTGGTCTTACGTTCCTCAGAGACAGATAGATTAATGAGTTAAATCAAGTACAGAGAGAACAAATGTCCAGCAGATCTAGAAACTTTGAGACTGATTTTTCACCAATTTGACACTTATTTTTCACTTTATTTTTTCTTGGAGATGGAAATCTAAAGATGTCAAACAAAAGTACATCAAGGCAGTGTACCGGGAGTACACAGATTCTACATACACCGTGCCCAGGCCAAGACCAGCATGGACAGGTAAGTCTGCTGTGATGATACTTAGAGCCTGAATGAAGCGTGTTGAGAAGCATTAAGGTCACAGTGAGAAAGAAATGAAAATACAATGCAAAGGTTAAAGCCTTAGACCTTATGTCGTAAGTGTACGAGAAATAAAGAAATGTATTAGTATAAAAACATAAGTTTGCCAAATTAAAGTCGTAACATTACGAGAGAAAAGTCTCGTTGTATTTTGTTTTGAATAAAAGTTTTGGTTTTTTGTTTCTTAAATGCTGTTTTCTGGCTGTAGGTATTCAGGGTCCGGTGATAGTGGCCCAGGCTGGAGACAGGGTGTTGGTCCATTTCAAAAACCTGGCCTCTCAGCCGTACAGTATCAGCCCTGTGGGCATCACCTACGGGAAACAGTCCGAAGGTAACATGAAGTTAATGAGCATGAACGTTTAGTCCTCGTAACATTACAAACTGTTCCCCAGTCAGCAAGACCATGCTCTCTGTGGTTATAATGTGAATTAATTATGTGACTCAGCTTATTGACTCATATTAAGATTGTTAAGGTGAAGTCCTTGTTTAACTGAATGTAAAATAGAGGGGGGATTCAGGGAAATCTTGGCCCAAATAAACAGTATTGAATTAAATAATTCACTCCACCTTATTCTTTGGAAATGGCAGCGGCCAACGGTTATCTTTATCTTCTCTGTGCAGATCTCATGAGTCATGTCAACCAAACTGCCAGTGGTTACAGTAGAAGTTGAATTTGTGCTAGTACTAGAGTGTACATATATCTAGGATCAATCCAAGTGATGCAGGAACACATACGGTCATAACTGGTGGGTAAACCCGTAGATGTAAATCCTTCCCACAGCAGACACTGGCTCTGATCCTAATGCTGCTCTAGAACCTGAGCACTCACTTCCTGTCTTTCCAGGGTCAGGGTCTTTCCTGGTCACTAGATATAATCTTGTAATGCGGTAAGTTACAGCCTTAATTGGTTGTCACAACCAGCAGGAAAAGGCTAAATTAAGCAAAATGAATCAGATTTAATTTTCTTAATGAGGGCAGCTGTGTCGAAGGCCCCGTCACAAATTCTCGTAGGTCCTTTTTTGGCAGTGTTTGCCAACCTTCTTTGAGTCACAGCATGTCATTTACATTTGAAAAACCCCACGGCACGGCACCAAACAAAAGGTCCCAAAAAGTACAAAGAGTATAATGAAATAATAATTATCTTCTATTTTTTAGCTTTCATTTTCCTTCTAATTATTGAACCCAGGCCTAGTTGAACACAACCTTTATGAACTTGCAAAATTTAAAAACAAATTATTGTATAGTTATCAGATTTGTACTATTGGTTTTAGCATTTGTTAGACATTTTCAACCTTTGGAAATGCTTATGAAATGAATTTGTCAAATCTTCATTAATTCCTTCCTCTTTAATCACTTCCTCCTCAGATTGACTCAAACACTTTGTATTTTTTCCCTCTCCAGGAGCCGGCTATGATGACTCCACAGCTGGTCAGGAGAAGGATGATGATGCTGTATCTCCAGGAGGTTATTACGAGTACGTGTGGGACATCAATCCTAAAGACGGGCCCACCAGCAGTGATCCAGAATGCCTCACTTACTCCTACTCCTCCCAGGTAGACACAGTCCGAGATGTCAACTCGGGACTCATTGGTGCCTTGCTCATCTGCAAATCAAGTTAGTAATCTGCTTTTTGAATTCAAGATTTGCCACACTACTGATTCAAAAACAGGATGAACAAAGTCTCTTTGTATATATATATGTATTTTTTTTTTTTTCAGGTGCCTTCACAGACGAAGGCGAGAGAAAAAAACAGGCATTCGTACTGCTGTTTGCAGTGTTCGATGAGACCAAGAGCTGGTATGGAGAGGTGGGAGACAGGATGAGCCGGGAAAGGTTTAAGAGGACCAGCGGAAGAAAGGAATACCACACCATCAATGGATATGTTAACTCTACACTGCCTGGTAATGAACCACAGTGAAAGTGTTGGTCAAACTTAAGAATATTGTCTTACCACCACCTCCCTCCACCATCTTTGTCTTTCTCTGTGTGTGTGTAGGTCTGACAATGTGCGCAACCCGCAATTATGTGTCGTTGCATCTGATTGGAGTGGGAACAGCTCCAGAAATTCACTCCATTAAGTTCCAGGATCATACTTTGAAGGTAACAGAACTCTACATATCTGTCTGAGCCTTAGAAAATCATCATTTTCAATTAAGAAACAACATGACACTATGCATGGGACTCACTCAAAATGGCTGTGTGATCCATTTGTGGATCCCGACCCACTGTTTGAGAAACAACGATCTAACGTCTATGTTGCTTATTTGTCATTTGATGCCTGTTGTATGCTGACTGTAATGTGATTTTTTTTTCTTATACTAAGGTGTTAAATCATCGTAAAATCACCATGGAGGTGACACCCATGACCTTCACTACAGCAGAACTGAGACCTGTGTCTACTGGGCGATTTCTTATCAGCTGTCAGATCCATGCACATCGTACAGGTAATTTGCCCTGATTTTTTTTTTAAAAATATATGAATACATATACATGATTTGGTTGTGATTTTGCCCCACTGCTGCTCCCAGATGGAATGAACGCCTTCTTCACAGTGAAGACATGCTCCGAGGCTTTGGCTCGAGCGCAGCCAAAGGACCAACGTAAAGTGAAACAAAATGACTACGACGACTACAGTGACAACGACAGCGCAGAAAACTATGAGAGTGCGTTTAACACCATTAGCTTTCAGCACAATAAGCCTAAAGTTCAAGTAAGGGCCAGCAGAGGTCAGGAGTACAAAACCTGGAAGCATTTTATTGCAGCTGAAGAAGTCACCTGGGACTACGCCCCTCATCTTAAACCCACACACAGGTAAAGGCAGGAGAGATGAAGAATCAAAAACTGACTAAATGTGATGGAAACCAACTGACTTCTTATCTCATTGTTTATTTATGTTGCATCAGTGAGTTGACCTCTGGATATTTGCCCTCCTCCCCTCATCACCTGGGCTACAAGTACAAAAAAGTGGTGTATGTTGAATACACAGACTCATCTTTCACTGTGAGGAAAAGTTCTGACACGACGTTCTTTGGTCCACAGCTGAAAGGAAAGGTCAATGATCAGTTCCAGGTATGTAGTTCCAGTTTTAATGTATAAAACACACAATTACTGCAACACTACTAAGAGCTTTGATGAAGGAAATATTTACAAATGTATTTGTACTTAATTTGCTTCCAAATGTGTTGTCAGATCACTTTCAAAAACATGGCCAGTCGACCCTACAACATCTACCCCAATGGTCTCACCAGGATCAGTCCACTTCAAAGAACCTCAAATGGTAAACTCCAATCACCATTATCAATTAACACAAAACATCACACAGTTTCCCGTGTTAATTTTCTGTTATTGCACAGATGCAGAGAAAGACTTGCGCTCCATGGGTATTCCCCCCAACGGGACGTTTGAGTACCTTTGGAAGCTAACAACAGACGACGGACCCCTGGAGGGAGACCCCCAGTGTCTGACCCAGCTGTACCAGAGCACCGTCTCACCAGAGAGGGACTTGATATCAGGGCTGGTGGGAACACTGCTCATCTGCAAGTACGAGGCCATCAACAGGAAAGGTCAACTGGTGAGGAGAAGGAACTCAGCTTGGCCCAATTTTCTAAAAGATGTAACAAATGATATACATATATATGTATATTCTGTATTATATGAAACTGATTTCCTCTAATGTTTTTCTGCAGTTGGCCCCAGATAAAGAGTGGACTTTAATGTTTGCTGTGTTTGACGAGAACAAAAGTTGGTACTTTAATGAAAGCATGCAGAAGTCCAGTCGGGACTCCTCCAGCCTCTCTGACTCTGAGTTCTACAGCTCTAACATCATCTACAGTGAGTTCAATGAAAAGTGAAGGACTGATCATGTGGCGACGGTCAGACGGGAGTATCAGCACTAGTTTTAATTCCTCTTTTCTTTAGGTGTGAATGGAATCATGTTCAGTGGACGTCAGTTTGTGATGTGTCAGTCTGATGTCACCTACTGGCATGTGGCCAACGTGGGAACCCAGAGTGACTTCCTGTCTGTGTATTTTACGGGAAACCTCTTTGAATCCCAAGGCCTGTACCAGTCAGTCCTCACTCTGTTTCCAATGACCGGAGCAACAATTCCTATGGAGACCGAACTGTTAGGTAATTTCGTGACACACAAAACCGAATCCCATGTCTGAGTTTAGGTGGTTAGAGTTAAAGTCTCACCAGAGTCACATGAACACAGATTAGAGCTGTAGTAGCTATGGTCTTGAGACAGATTTAAAATTGAAAGCACCATGAGTGACAACATCTGGGACATTTCTGATGTAAGTCAGTTTTAAATGATGAAAAACAGGACCACACACGCACTCACACACTGGTGACCACATACACACTGTTCTTGTTTAGTAATGCCATTAGTAATAACGTATTAATCTTTAAACTCTACTAAATCGCTTCACACTTCATTCAACAGAGGTTAGTACTGTCTGACTTTAATGTTTAATATCATCTGCAGTGTATGACAATCCAAAGTGTGGTTTGTGGGCTCTAAGCAAATCTTATGTGGTAACAACTGACATTTCTTAAATAGAGCTTTTCATGTAGAATGAAAACATTCTCATGTTCTCACCTGTGAAAAATATTCTTAAAGTCAACAATTTTTGGTTACATTTTTAGCGTTAAGCTAATTTGTAGCTTTTAAAAATCTTTTTAAAAATCTTGTCTAGCCTAGCTTCAGCTACCATATTTAAGACCACAAACTACGCTACTATCTCCAGCTGTCCAAACACTTTTTATTTTTAAATAATTTTCTCATGAAGTTTTTTCCTTATTCATTTTAGGTAAGTTGTAAGTTGTTTTTTTTATGGTTAGCTTAATCTTTTTTTGCTAACCTTTAGCTGTTTGGGCTATCTTCTCATTTTTGGCATCTTTTGTGCTAATTTAGACACCACATTTTACTGTGTTTTTTATACATTCACACAAGACAAAAACATGTTCCTCTTCTCACAGGTGAGTGGGAGATCAGTGCCTTTGACAGCAACCTCAAGAACCGTGGGATGAGCATCTTTTACACCGTGCGTCCCTGTGACACCGGGCATTTTGGGTTAGTTGATAGGGATGATGATGATGATGATTACATACCTGAATACAGCGATCTGATTGAGCTACAGCCCAGAGGCACCAGACCTCAAAATCATACTGTTTTAGTGCGGGTGTGCAAGAAAGTCCAAGAAAGTCTTAATGACACTCAGACCACTGGTAATAAAACTGTGTGTCACTTGAGGAGAGTCCCCGTGACACCAAAGAAGTCGAATAATGTGACGGAGGAAGAGATTCCTGAAGACGTCCTGGAGGAGTTGGAGAAAAATTGGAATGGGACATTGAGCCAGAATAGTGATGCCGGAGGAAAGACAAGTGTCAGAAAGAGTCGACAGGCGGAGAGGAATTGGACTGACGGAGACGACAGCTCCGGGGCCTCAGAGGAGGACGCCATTGGGATACACATCAGTGGAGAGTACATGGAAAACAAGACTAACACTGTAGTGGAGGTGAAGTCTGTGGAGAGAATTGAAATACAACGTGAAAAGTCCAAGTCCAAGGCGGATGAAGTGTCAGAAGAAGACAACGAGATCCTGGTGAACAGTGATCCACTCTGGAAACTCTTACCTTTGGAGCCAGGAATAATTAAGAAAATAGAGGAAACTGTTTTGAGAAACGACATCCAGGTTCATCCTGAACCACACACTGTGCTGAGCTTGGACAAAAACAACACAGCTGAGAACAACAACACATCACAGATTGACTTGTCTCTAGATGAATATGATTACGACTACAGCGATCAGGTACCGTGTCTGTCTGCAGTAAGTTTGCAAGTGAAATGCCAGATGTTATTTCATCTCACCTGTAGCACTCTTTGAATTTCTTTTAGATGAACAACACGTCCGATGCATATTACACAGGTTATGTGGACCCTCGTTCTGGCGGGAGCAGCTTTCGCACTTATTATATTGCAGCAGAGGAAATCACGTGGGATTATGGCATCAGTAAACCTCATCAGCTCATTAACAACAGGTCAGAGTTAATGTTACATTTTGTCACGTTTTATTATAAATAATAAATCAAAAGTTTTGCAAAAATGTTAACATAAAAATCCTTACAGAGAGATGCGCCGAGGAATGAGAAAGTTCCTGCCAGAATATAAGAAAGTCGTGTTCAAAGCCTACACAGGTGAGGACTTCCTACATCCTGTAGACAGAGGAGAGCTGGAGGAACATCTTGGAATCATGGGACCTTTCATCAGAGCTGAGATCCATGACCTTGTTAATGTAAGTATCTAAAATAGAATAATCTATTATGTACAATATAGGTAAATGAGACTTTCCTAATTGTTATTAATTGTTACCCTTCTAATATTTCTCTTCTTTGTCACATTTAAGGTAATTTTCAAAAACAAGGCGTCCAGACCGTACTCATTTCATCTCCAGGGAGTGTATGACCGCAGCCAGGGAGCTGGTTTTGCTCAAAGCCACTCTTCCGCCGCACCACCGGGGGTCCCAGGAGAGCCTGTTGCTCCTGGAGAGGTACGGACCTACAACTGGAGAGTAACCAAGAAACAAGGACCCACCAACACTGAATTTGACTGCAAGACAGGGGCCTATTATTCTACTGTTGACAAGGTCAGCATGAGGGTGCATGTGTCAACACTATATTTCACAGCTCTCAACACAAGACCGACATTTCGGCTTTTGACCGTTCACTTTCTTTCAATAATTCGATGGAATGCAGAAGAGTAACGCTAATATGCTTCTGTATTCAGGAGAAAGACCTTCACTCGGGTCTGATCGGTCCACTGGTGATCTGTAAACCTGGGACCCTGCAGACTCGCCGGAACATTCAACCAAACATCCAGGAGTTTGCTCTGCTCTTCCACACTTTTGATGAGACTAAGAGCTGGTACCTACAAGAGAATCTGAAGCAGCAGTGTGTTCCACCCTGTCAGGCCAACACTGAGGACTCCTGGTACCACACCAGCAACAAGTTTGCAGGTGGAGCTAATAAAGTAGATGTGGGTGTAATACTCTAGGTAGCCTGGTCCTCTGTTCCCTCAGCAACAATGTCAATGTTTTTAATCCCATTTAGCAATCAACGGCTACGTGGCGGAGACACTCCCTGGTCTGTTGGTGGCCCAGCACCAGCAGACCAGATGGCACCTGTTGAACGTGGGAGGAGATGAAGAGTATCATGCCGTGCACTTCCATGGTTTGCCTTTCACTGTTAAAACTGACCTGGAACATCGCATGGGCGTCTACAACCTCTTCCCTGGTACAGTACATGCAAATACATGTATTCTCCGCCCGTTACACGTACATACTTCTACCATACGTGATTGGACTACATCTGTTTGCACAGTATTTACAGGATTATAGTAACCTGATTCCTCCTGTGTGTTATTATTGCCTGTTTTTTCCAGGAGTGTTTGGCACAGTGGAGATGAGCCCTCCCACAGTTGGCACATGGCTGGTGGAATGTACCTTAGGAGACTACCAGATGGCTGGCATGAGGGCCAAACTACTGGTGTACAACCCACGTGGGTATCTGTGTTATATATTTATGTAAAACTGACAGTAGTTGCTGGACATAAATCTGCTTCTCAGGGAATTTACCTAGTAAAATCCCTGACCATCCTCCTTTGATGGATGCTCCTTTTACACCTAAAATTAATGTTCAGGCATTTTATTAGTTTTCCTGCTAATTCAGATGAGTATTTTTGATGAGTTTTAACCGTCTTTTTTTTAATTTTATATTTATCCTGATTAAAAATGCAGTCTAGATTGTTAGTGATCAATGAAACATTTTCTTTTGCTTTTTGCAGGTTATCTGTTCAGTAAATGTTCATGAAGTTTCAGTTCGATTTTTAGACCAAGATTTTTAGGAGCTGAGTTTTGTTTTAGTCAAAAGGAATTCCCTCTGTTAGATGTTGTTGAGTCAGTGGGTCCGGCAATGTAAGTGTCTATTTTCAGTCGTATTCACTTTTCTATACAGAGTGAGTAAAATTTACTCACTCTGTATCAAATGTACTCAGTCTGTGCAGTTTTATATTTCAGCTCTGCTCAGAGAGTCAGAGACTCTGCATGCTGACATAATATAACCAACTATGTGTTTGCGGCAGTATGAGTAATTTGGCAGGGGACTACCTAAGTTTTCCACTTTCTCAGTAAACTGTTAGGGTTTCACTTTGTCATATGTTCTCCGGTTTCCTGTCACATCACATAGTACAAAAAGCATGTGGAATTTATGAGTCTGCAAAAACTACTACTGTAGTACTACTGTTCGAAACTGTGTTTAATAGTATGACTGACCAATGCCGTAGCTCTAAGTTATATCATAGGATTATACTTAGAGAACTCCCCCACCCCACATTTTGGGTCATCATTGTGTCGTGAAACTAAAATCATCATCTGCAGTTTTGCTATAGTGTCGTTCTCTGCTCTACATTATTAAAAACATAATTGAGTATTTTGTCTTTTACGTTTTTTTTTTATCTCTATTTGTTTGTTTGATTGTTTTTTGGCGTCCAGGATGTGTCCTGCCACTGGGGATGAAATCAGGACGGATTGGGGATTCACAGATTTCAGCATCAGACTACATTGGTAAAACTCTATTTTTTTTTTCTTGTCAGTATTTGTAGGTGACAGTACAGTACATTGAAATTTTCTTTTAAAATCATCAATGTGTTTACTTAAATGTTTGTGTCTAGATAACTGGAAGCCCAACCTGGCCAGACTGGATCAGACAGGTTTTATCAATGCCTGGATGGGTAAAAACAACAAGTCGTGGTTGCAGGTTTGACATGTTCAGACTATACATATGTGTGTGTGTGCCACAGTATCATTTTTGTTATTATTGCAATTTATAAATGAGCAACTAATTTTTAGGTGGACCTCAAGAAGCCCACTGTGATCCATGGCGTGCAGACACAGGGAGTCAGGTCAAAGTTAAGGGATCACTACATCACATTCTTCACTGTGGCCTACAGTCTGGACCAAGAGAGGTGGACGACATACAGAGGAAACAGCACTGTGCTGCACAAAGTAAGACGAGTGCTGTGACACAACAGCTGGCAAAGATAAATATTTGTCCATGATAAAATGTCAAATCAGAGCAAATTCATTTATATAACATTTTTTTTGTAGGCTGAGTCTAGAAAAATACATCACTGTACCTGTATATTTAACTCATAAACAAGGTCATTCAAACTTTGAATTGTTTAACACCCCCTGCAGGAAAGAAGGGGAAGCATCATGTTTAATGTGTTTACTGGCATCTTTTCCATTCATCTTACTTTGTATGAATGTGTTGTGTTTCAGAGATTTCGTGGGAACTTGGACAGTTCCAGGGTGACACCAAACTCCTTCTCTCCACCAATTGTGGCTCGCTACATCAGGATTCAGCCTATCGGCTTTGTGCAGAAGCCTGCTCTGCGACTGGAGCTGCTGGGCTGCGATCTCAACAGTGAGTTCCACCAGTCAGAGACATAATTTAGCCATGTAGATTTGTAGAATTTTGAAGAAAGATCTGGTATGGATCTAACAGTGGATCTGTATTTGACCAGGCTGCTCACTCCCTCTGGGGCTCCAGAAGAAGACCATACTTGACGGCAACATCATTGCCTCCTCGTTTTATAGCTCTTTGATGAGTAAGTGGAACCCCTACCTGGCCCGGCTCCATCAGGAGGGCAGAACAAACGCCTGGAGGCCAGCGGTAAAGGAAACTTTGACATGCATTCACACAGATGTTGTACTTATTTTTTTATTATCATTTTTTGCAATTTTTTTTAATTTATTATGCAAGTAGAAATGTTTAGTATCCTCTTCCTCTGCTCACCTGGCATTGGTTTGTCACTATGTCAAATATGATATGATGAATATGACTTTTACACAGTGAAAACAAGAGAGCTAATATAGCAGAAAGTAAAAAAAAAAGTTTTTATTTATTTATTTCTAGGTCTTAGTTTGTGATATTTAACCCAGTAGTTGCCCATTTCTCCATTTTTATGATCTTGTAAATTTAACACTTTCTTGCAGTTGAGATTTGTTCAGTTGGTGTTAAAAATCAGACCAAAAACAGGAAGCAGTTTCTGTGATTCACTGCTGGAGTCAAACACTGGTCATTTGATTGTATTGTACATGTATACAGTAGTCAGTCTTAAATGTATTTCCAATAATTATACAAGAAAAAAAGAAAAGTTTCTGTGAAGTTTTTCAGAAGACACAGTCATGTAGGGTCAGTAACTTACGTCTGTTACTACAAGTTATATTTTTCTGTAAAATTTAAAATGCTGATACTCCTTTCTTTTTCTTTTTTGAAGTATGACAACCCACACGAGTGGCTGCAGGTGGACTTGGGTAGAGTAAAACGCATCACAGGGGTCATCGTCCAAGGTGCAAGCTCGCTGATGACCCAAATGATGGTGACGGAGTTCGCTGTCAGTGTCAGTCACAATAAACTGTACTGGAGTACAGTGTTAGAGGACAGCTCACAGAATGAACAGGTAGAACTGGAGTTTGTTTTGTTTTTGTTTGTTTTGTCTTCTATATTTCTGTAAATTCTTGTCTAAAGGTTTTGTTATAACTCTTTTTTTTTTGGTTTGGTGATGTTTTAATCTTATTTCTATTTATTTTATTAATCCTGTTTTTCTTCTTGTTCTGCTTGTATTTTTAATTCCGATCATCAGATCTTCAAAGGAAATGAAGATCCAGATGAGGAAGCGCTCACAACATTCAACCCGCCCTTGTTTGGCCGTTACCTTCGCATCCATCCACGGGGCTGGATCAACCACATCGCCCTGCGGCTGGAGATCCTGGGCTGCGACACCCAACAGATCACGTGAAACCAGCCAGGATGCTGCAATATTTTAGCGGCTGTGTGTGTTATAATAATTAGTTAAATTATTACTGTATGTAGCCCTATTGCTATTACCACAAAGTTGTTTACATTTTCCCCTTTTTATTCACTTGGCATTTTCTTACAATTTTAAAAACTGAATGTAGCTGTATGAGGTCACATTATTGTATGAATGTAATACTTCTGATGAAGATGAACACTGATAAGCTGTGCAAACAGTAGAAACCTTTGTGAAATTTAGGCTTGTAAATAGATTCATTGAAATATTTAAATTCTTTTTTCTTTTCTTTTTTGCATTAAAGTTTATTTAACCTACGGTTAAAAATCACATTTATTCCACATCTCTGAACTCCAACATGTTCCTTTATAACCTTATAAACTAAAAGTAAGACTTGTCAGCTCCAAACAATAGCCTCAAGATAAATCACACAGTACTTGATATGAAACTTCCTCTCTCATTATTTCCTTCCTCCGTTATCTCTGTTCTTTCTTCGGTCCACTGCTCTGCAGGGCAACATGTCCCTAATTTGTTATTCTGGCTTATCCACCTCCAGCAGGTCCTCCTGGTAGAAACAATGATCAACATAACTCCAACATTCTTTCGCTATCAAGAAAAAAAAAAGATTAAAAGAAATGGCGTTTCGGAAAGGAAAAATAAAATCAAAATGTTTCTCCCAAGTGTTTTTGTAAAGGCGGTGTGTGCATGTGTTTATAGGACCAATCAACCTCTCTCACCTCATTATCAGCGGGAGAAGTTTCCAGACTTTGCTGTGTGTTTCGTTTGGAGAACGCGGTAATACAGGACGGGAAGTGTTGGCAGAGACGAGGCGACATCACATTCTGGCTGCCTGTCACCTTTTTTTATCTCTTTGGAAACAGTTACTTACTGCTTTATGTCACGACAGCGTAACACGGCAACTATGTTCACTTGTAGTGGAATAACTGAGAGCTGGGAGAGTGAAGAAGGAAGTGACATCACCACATACAGGAGACCGGGTGAGAAAGCTACTGACTAAACACCAGGGATAAAACTCCACTGTGGACTCTGTCTGCTGAAAAAGTACAGTCCCACACAAATATGTAGATATCTGAGGAAAAACACCGCTGTGGCTAGTTAAGCTAAACGTAAAAGTAAGACGACGCCATGTACTGTTCAGGACTATATTGATGCTGTTGGTTTTAATATATAGTCGTAGATTATATGTGTATTATCAACATGTATCTGTGCTTTTTAAAAGAGTTTTATACTCTTCATTGAGAAGGTGTTGCAGACATTGTATCTTTCCTGGTTTTGTCATTTGGCTGAGTCTTTCTTCAGAGATTGCTGCACAAAATTAGTCACATATATGGAAATAGGAATGAGACATTCACAGAATTATATTTGGACATTGATGCTTACTTCCCTTAACTGTGTTTCCAACATCCCTTTAACATAGTGAACTACAGTTAATAGTTTTTTATTTGAGATTTGTACATTCACTGGCACATGGCTCAGTGGTAACTAATGATAGTTTGGCATTTTCTCTCTATGTGTACTTGTTCTGTACTCCGTGTTCTCAGGTTTCCTCCCACAGTCCACAAACCTCCTCAAAAGTTCCTTTTGGCCCTTTGATTGACCATAGATATGAATGTGAGTGTGAATGTCCAGGATACACAGTGACCTAGGATGAACTAGGATGAACCAGAGACAGTCAGTCCACACCTAAAACCAATAAATGTGATAATGACTAACTCTGTATGAGGTTTAGCTGAGGTTACAACTCCACATCAGTGGGAGGTGAAGATTATCCAGGAAGTGGGAGATGACATCAAGAATGAAAGCACAATGGACATTAATGACAACTGGTCAGAGTGGCTTCAGACTGGCCTGTGACATCATTACTTATTGGACACTGTTTGCTCCTTCTGTTAAGGACAAATACATGTGTTCTTAATGATATTTTTCTTTCACAAAAATGTATCACAGTTTAAATAAAACTTTAAACGCAAGTCTTTAGAAACCATGTTAGTGTTAGGTGATTGTAGTGATGTGTCTCGCAGGACACAGGTGTGTGTGTGTGTGTAGTGATGTCTCCACATGGACGGCTTTTTACTGGACGGTTGTTGTTGTTCTTGTTGTTTCCAGTCTTTGCAGTTAGTGACTCTTGAGCTCTTGTTCCACAGTAAAGGACATTGTGTTTTAGTTCTGAAGAACCCAAGCTTTTGGTTTATGTTCCAAAAGGCCAGTTAGCAAACAAAAAACAAAAAAAATTACATAATTTTGAGCATGGTAGATGTGAAATTATGATTTTGACAGGTAGGATCAAATTACAGGTAAGGTATTAGAATGCTTTGCTCAAAGTCAACAAAGAATGTATTTAATGGAAAAACAATACATTTCACTTAAGTGACCAAATTTCTCTTGTTCACTGTTACTCTAACACGGTCCTTCTTTTCATTGTTTTGAGTCACTGTAGCCGCAGCTTTGTACTTCCTGTATAGTCAAATTTCAAAATGTTGCCACAGGTTTCGGAAAGAGTCAACTGCCCCTTTGTTTAATATGTTTCTCTTTCAAAGAAACAACCATTTACAACAAAACCACAAAATGCCCTTGGTTTAACACTTGCAAAATTTAGAAACCCATCAGATGTGAAATACAGCAGAAAATGTAATCCCAAGAAAAACTTTCACAACCTGTTCACATGTGATTACAGAGTAAAGAACATTATTTCTGCATTGACAATTCTGAAAAAAGGGATTAAAAAAATAATTAGGAAAACGGTGTGACGCAGCAGGAAACAGGGCCATGGTTTTATCACCAACTCTAATCATCACTTCCTGTCCTGGTCCAAGACCCAGAGAAAAGTTCTGGGCTCCATAATTCAAGATAAAAATAATCAAGACAGTCTTTATTTACTTTTAAAAAAAAATACTTTACTATAGAATACACCGGAGCAAAATACATACTCCACTATACTTACCTTAAAAATATATTTTTTCAGAGATTATTTATTTGTTGTCCTAATTTACTTTAATAATATTTGCGATTTACTCCAATTGTATGTCTGTAAATTTAAATCAGAAAATACGGACAGGGTAGCTTCCTTATCACCATTTAAAAGCAAATATTTTCTTTCTGTAACAAATATACGAGTAAAACAAATTGGTTAAACCAAAGATTGGTGAAAGAATGACATCTACTGGACATTTTAAGGTGTTGCAATTTTAGATGCGTCCGTTTTTATCGTACTGTATATAGAGCAGCGTATGGTTATTTCTTTTTTAATTTCATATTTGAATTATTTCTTAAACACTACAATGTGCTGCAGTTGCTGAAATGTAAAACTGTAAAAGTTTTTGGGCTTATTTTAAAATACTAATACTAATATATTCTTTTGATAATACTTATTTTCTTATTTTTAAAGAGGCATATGTCTCTCTTGAATGTCATTATAAGCAGTTAGGTCCTCATAAACACATTATGGAAATGTGTCTCCTCTTCTGACCAGTTAGATGGAGACAGTGCTGCCAAACATAATGATTTCTCTTTCACCTGTTAATAATCAATCTCCATTGTGTTCATGCTTATTTGTCAAAGACTGCCTTCGGCTCAGAGCCAGGCCAAACAAGTGACTTGTTCTTTTTCCCTGTCACACGTAATTGTTCACTGTGTGTGTGTATGTGTGTGTGCATGAGCAGCTCTAGTGCTTGGGAGCGATTAGGGTAAGTGTGATGTAATAATTTGCATCAGTGGCTGCCTGGCTGCGGCCAGACCCTGATGTGAAACCAGGAAATAAGGGAGTCAGAGAAGGACTTGAGGTCTGAAGAAACAAACTTATGTTGCTGTGGTGATAAGAAGAGCAGTCATTTGAAAAGTCATTCAGCGTGTCCCTGAACAACATCGCAGGTTTTTGTTTTGAACGACTGTGTCCGTGCTTTTAAGGGTAATCATAATATAATTGTGTCTAAAAGCCCACCAGTGACTGATGTGAACACTGAGCAGTTCATGCTGGATAATCATGGGGAAAAAATGTAAAAAGCTGTTGGCCATGACGATGATAATAGTTTGATTGTTACATCTTTATTTGTGTTTATTAGAAAAATGTTTCAAAATTAATTTGACAGAAAAACAAACAACAAAAGAAAACACAGGTGAAGTTATATTTTTTAGCAGCAAGACTCCTAACAGATATGGTGAAGCCAATGGCTTTTTATTACAGTTTTTTAATAGAGAAAGTTAATGTTTGTGGAGGGTTAATATAAAAAAGAGAGGCTGTTAGGGCAGTTGGCATTAGCAGAGTCCTGCACAGATATAATGTGAGGCTGGCATAATTGTGGTTTTATCATCTGCAAAAGACGATGCATGTTTTTTTTTAACACAGTGCCTACAGTCAAGATATACTGAAAGATAATGTTTATATCACCCTGTAAATCATGAATGGTTCCCAGAGCAGCACACAAAGTAATGTATGTGATGCCACTGTAGCCAAGTACTGTAAAAATGATACTTCACCTTAAAGATAAGTGAGAAAACAGTACTGGAAAAACAGAGCACTGAGGAAAATTTAGAATGGCTTTTGGCAAATGTCATCTCTTCATATACTGTATACTGTATATAGACGTTGAGCCATCACATGCTGTTTGTGTGGTTTTAAAGCACAGCATTTCACAGGGTGTAGATGGCACAAAGAGGAACAACAACAAGCCTCAGTACTGCAGTGCTTTAAGGTAGCAAGCAGAGCTTGAAAGCAAGAGTATTATGGACATCATGGCAAAGTCAAGATGAAAAGTTTAATCAACTAATGGTAAAGAACAGCGCTTTCCAACGTGTGAATGTTTGCCTACAAGTGGTCCTTTGAGGTACTGCAGGGGGGAATAACCAAAATTGCATTGCTTTGGTTCACTAAATATATAGATAGAGACATATACAATATTAATTTTTTAAGGTAATTTACTGGCCACTGAGCCCTAACCTTTTACACTTTCTTTATCTAATGACTAAAATGTTCAGGCACATTTCCGTCTTGACTTGTAAAGCCAACATATTATGTTTTGTTAAAGAAAAATGCATATAATATGAAAAGATCAACATTTGTCAGCTAAGAAGTTGAACTCCATATGAAAATGTGGTTTAACTCTGTGTGTGCCCCTACGTAGCTTTGGGCTACATATCAAATTTCACAAATCTGTGAGCACCAGAAAAGCACCAAGAAAAAACAAATTTGGAGACAGTTGCACCATTTCTTTGATTGTCAGGAAATGCGTTTCTATAACCCTTGAATTATTAGGAAAAGAAAACACTTAGTACTGTTAGTAGTATACACAATGGTTAGGTAACATAGAGACTACACTTTAGGATACTAATACAGAGTCCAAGCATGTAGTCATCACTTATTTAGAGCATAAGGTTTAGATCAGAGAGATCAAAAATCAGATATGACTGTAACATTCTTCACACATTCTTCTCCTTCACATTGAGAAACAAATTACATACAAACTTAAACCTCACCTGTAGTCCTATATAAGAAATGGACATAGCCATCCACAAGTTGACTACAGTAGTGCTGAATGCAAATGTGGCTATATAAAAAATTGGTCTAATTTTCTTTAATCACTTCAGTAATTGTTTAATGGTCCTGATCATTATTTTTACATCCTCTCCTTTAGAACTCAATGTCTATTTTGTACATTATTATCCCATTTAGACGAAAACAGACAGTAAAGCACAGCCGTGTCAATGACTGATCTAATAGGAACCATCCAATCGGACTGTATTTAAGGCATTGATCACAACATTAAAATAAAAGGCTATGTGTATACTGTATATATGGCCTACCATTTGGACAAAGTCAACAGTTCTTATCCAGGTAGTTGCTGATCTATATCATGTAGAAGAATCAAACATTAAACAATACAACGGTAAATGCAAAATTTCCACACAAAAAAAAGGTATTAGGTATATGTGCAGTAATAGTAAACTACAACTCAGTTGGTTCTAACCAGAATCTGAGTGAGGCTAAAACAATGAAGACACCAATGAAAATACCAATGATTAATACCACAAAACACATGACAGTGAATGTAAAAAAAAAAAAATCATCAACTTTTTACCTAAAAGTCTTTTGTCAAACTTACACAAATTTATCAACAGGTAACTTGTAATGTAGAGTTTTAAGGCAGTTTTGTTAATAGGAAAATGTTTTTAACCATCACAATCATCTCTCCAAATAAGATGAAACAGGATGGATATTCTGAGCATGAAAATGTAGAAAAACAAAATTACATCCTTATCACAACATGTTTGCCAAAGCTCTCTTTACACTTTGTGTACTAGTTTCTGGGACTTTAGTGACATTGAGCTTTAGTTTAGCCAAACAAACTAGCACAATTTGTCAATAACATTATTTTTTTATTGGGGTTGTAACATGCTAACAAGCTAATGGGCTAACGTGCAGTTATATTGATACCTATATCAAAAATAAGTAAAACTGAACTTTAATTTTTACACTAAGATATCCAAATCATTTAATATAATACAATAAAACATCATGAACCATATTATAAAAGCCACAAAATATTTTCTATGGCTTTCTTTAAAGTAAGTGCTTAAAGTTTTGGGGTGAAAGAAATTGTACGAATTATTAGACGTCTAGTAAAGACTAATTTGTTCAAAGTCCACAGAATTTGTATGTTTCTGTGAAATAAGGGGAATTTCCTATTAGAAATATATTTAGAGTAATATCAGAAAAATTGGCTGTGGTGAGAACAGAGAACTATACAAGTAAGAACCAGTCCTAAGGAAAGAGGAAACAGAGTAAAAATAAAAACTGAGCAACTGAAAAAAAACAAAACAAACGAAAATGGTAAAAACAATCATGCACCAACTGTTGAATGATGAGACACAAACAGCGAAATTTGTGGTTTTGGACATGTAGAAAACAACAGCACACCCCAAAGAAATTAATGATAAATGTTAACATCCAACAAACTGCAGTTGATCCAATGATTACTGAGGTATTATTGTGTTTCCTGTTCAAAGCAGTTCCCATGTAGCTGTACTGCCTCTGACGCGCGCACACTGAGGCTTGTGCAGCTGTTAGGCCTTCAACACTGAAAGTTACTGTGTGCCGCGAATGGAATCTAGTCCAAAAAATTTGGTGCATCGAATAAAGGCGATTAAAAATGTATATCTGTAGTTGCACCCAAAATTTAGCTGGCTTTAAATAGTAAAAAAACATGTGTCACTGTATTCCTCACATGGATATTTACTTTAAAATAAATTGTTTAATATAACTACTCAGAACATCATACACTATTGGCTTCCCTCAAGTGGTATAAATGTTTTTGCAACTCCTGGTGAATTTTTAAATTAATAACATTAACTTTGATGTTGAAGTTTTCAGACCCCAATCTTTGGCTAAACTGCAATTATCAATTTCCAAATTAGATTTAGAATCACCAACACAAATTAATTGGCCTTCAAACAACTTTCTTGTTTTAATTTAAATGGTTTTATCTTGCTGCCAAACTACAGTTGTAAGTTTTTTGAGCAATTTTAAATTAATGTACCATTTTCTTTAGAGATGTGATCTATAAAAGAGAAGAAACACCAGCTAAACACCAGGTCGTTCCTACTCTTCAGCACAGGTTTTTACACAAACTGTCCATAACTGCAGCACCACATCTGTCCATTACAGATGATCGTTCGTTACTGTCCAAAATCAAAACCTGTAATTACAGAGTCCAGAGGTAAGTGGTCTGAATGATGATGAAACAGAGACTGTGATGATCTGTTTCTGCTAACACAGTGATCGAGGCCCATGTGTCCTGTCTAAACTACAGCAGCAAGTTAATTGTTTTTTTTTTGTTTGTTTGTTTCTTTATTTCTTTCCTGTGAGGTGGCCTCAGGGGGGATTAGGCCACTTGGCAGCTGTAATCTCAGTAGTCCCCCATAATCAACATTCTGTAACATTTTAGCCTCGTAACTGCTCCCATCATCTGCAGACAAATGCAGACAAACAAACATACAAAAGCTTTAAAAAAAGATCAAAATTCAAATTTTGTTTTGATGATGAGAATCTACAGTTAGTGGCGGTCGTTGATCTCCCATCAGCCTTTGGCTCTAGCCGTGATGCAGTCTGTGCATCTTCACCTCATACTAACACAGTGTGTGCGGATCAGTCTATCACCCTGCTAAAGATCGAAGGCAAATCGTAGAGTTAAATTCCTAAAAGAAAAGAAAAATTTGACTCATTCTTAGCAGACCTTTGTAGTCACTGGCCTGCTGTGAATTAAACCTACAACAAATATAAAAAGTTCAGAATTCGTGGAATTTGTATCAGTAAAAGGGTTGAGTTGTAGCGATACTTTTGTTAGTGGACCCTGGTTTATAATACAGCGACGGATAGTGAAGTGATTGCCTCAAATCATAAGGTCTTGTTTCATAAAATGCGACTGCAGGAAATGATGCAACGTTGCTTTTTTTCCCAACTGGATCAGTTCGCTTTTACAAGCAAAAAAAAGAAAAAGTTGTTTGGTCCACTAGAGTTCAATTCCACAACAGGCACTGTCAAAGGGGAGACTAACTCATGTGGATGTAATGACCTCCATAGTTCTTTTGATGTTTTTCACATTTATATCAACAATCAGGAGTATAATTCTCTTATCACAGCTGGCTCAGCAGAAAACAGTAGGACAAACCTGCATTGTGTTGACAAAAAACAGATGTATGAGGTACTACGTAAAGAAACTCAGATTTTATCCCTTAACTAGTTCTTATTTTGAAATTCCTCCAAATTGATATATGTGTAATCTTAAAAAAAGTATATTTATTTCAGTCAGTCATGTATTAACGTCTGCCAACGTCATCTGGCATCAGAAGTGACCCATGTGTCAGTTAAAATCATCATTATACCATTGGCTTCCTCTTTGAGGTAAAATATGTATGACTCCAGAGTCCATTCCTATTTGTGTGTTGTGCTTCTCTTTTTATCTTGAACTCATCCAACACAGGAAAGATTTTTGTCCTCTCTGTGGTGAGAGGGTTGTGGCTAGAGTAATCTTGAATTATCTCCATATGAAAATAACAAACAGACAAGGAGGGCTGGTAAGGGTTAATGGTCAGCAAACACAAGTCTGTGGTTGTGACCTCTTGGGTGAGGAGGAAGGGGAATTCTGAAGATGAGCAAAGGTGCTGGTGGCAGGAATCCCTAGGAAGAAACAGAGAAGTAAACATGGTGAGAAATATGTTGACCAGATGTTAATTAGTTAATTAGTTTGTGAAATGAATCGAATGAAATATGTCTGTAAAGATTCTCATTCATCAAGGTCATGTTATCCAAAGAGTTTAGTTGTACGCAACACTTCTTCTTGAATGGAACGAAACATCTTTCAAGCCCGAAAGATATTTCGTTCCATCCAAACATCTTTTAAGCTCCAAGTAGAAGCCTAGTTGCGTACAACTAAACTCTGGAGAATTCCATGGAAAACCTTAATGGATTTTAACACTTGGACATGACATACCATATCCAGTAATTCCCTCTGCAATACATTTTTTTTTATACATCAAATACAGTTGATACATGTGTTCTTTTGGGATAAGGTTTTGGCTTAACCAAAAGACCTGAGATTAAATTCTACCTCAAGGTCCAGCATGGGTCTCTAAGTGCGAGGCAGTAAGTTTGACTGACACAATTATCAGATGGAATGCAGGGAATCATAGACTAATAAATATTGCTGAGGAAAAGGGCTTTGAAAGCAAAGTTCTTAGTAATACTTGTGATATTCTTGACATGTTGAATTAGTTACAGATAAAACTAATGGTGAAACTAATGCATCTTTTTGCTGTTATATGTCTTTCTATTCCAGTAATTAACAAAAAAGACATATTTTGAAATGTTAAAATAATCTGGACTAACTGATACATTAAAACAATTAATCACAATATATCAATTACTCTTTAATAATCCGATTTTAAAAATTAAACATTGGAAAGCTGTAATATTTAAATATTTTGTGTGAGTGTTTGTAAAGCATTTAAACCTTTCTTCACTGCAACTCAGATGTGTGTCTCTACGTCACTGTAGCCTGGGAGGATTTCTCCATTGGTGCAGCTCTTGGGCTCCTGTGCTTTTTGGGCAGTGGGCAACATGTGAGCAGTGGTGGACGTCTCCTCTGCCGATGCTGCAGCCTCTCGCTGCTGGAGTCGTGAATGGACGAGAGGCACAAAAAATAGCACCACGGCTCCAACCATAGGAGGCACTCCAGCCAAGGAGAAGGCCACTGTGTAGTTTCCGAAATAATCACGTAGTAGACCTGGGGAAATGGTGGAAAGAGGATACGTGTCATTTCATTAACTTACCGTACTCTGTCAAAGCTCTAGATAGTTGTGATTAAATACAATAAAGTAGAAATACAGATTCTGATTATATTTTGCCAATTGGTGAAAACACTTTACACAAATAAGGGTTGTTCTGATGGTCAGTACTTTCATCTGAGTACTAACCAATCATCACTTCTTTAGGTTGGGTACTTGGACTTGAAGGCAGAGCTGTAAATACGCCAAGTTCTGTGTTAGAACTCAACTGAATCACAGTGAGAACACCAAGCCGAATAGGAGTGCATTAGTGACATATCATATCCGATGCTAATATCGTTCTATTCTTAAAATCTCCTTACAGTATGTCTTATTGTGACATTTCTTTCTTTTATCACCAGACTCCATTATGGCTGGTGAATAAAATCTTCATATTGGTAAAAATCATAACATGCTTGACATACTATATAGAAACCATGAAGGTGATAATAAAATACGTCAGGCTGATCAGTGATTGATTAGTAAATAGAATAAATTTGAGAGTAGAAGTTTGCTGACACCGTTCTATTTGTTTGTTTTTCTGTTTCTGGTTCCTGTTCCTACATACAGTGTGTGCTCAAAGAAACAACATTCACCATCAGCACTTACTGAGAAAGCAGGGTCAACAAGTTTATACCGCAGTGTGCATGAGTGCACTAAGAGGAATGTGTGCATGGACTGTAGGCTATTACGTGGCCATTCTTGCACATAATGTGTACACAGAACATACTGTACTGAACATCATTATGTGGATGTAGTTCTAATTATTGCTCTTAGCCTACATTTTTATACTTAATAAAGTACATTTTTGCAGTCAATACCACATTGACGTTTTGAATTAAAGATGAATGAAATCACATGAAACCCTTGTACTGTACATTATGTCTTCAAGTGTGCGCTGGCACAAATAGCGCAATTAGTGGTTGGACAGGCATTATACAGTGTAGTTAAATATATGGGCCTAGATTCTATTAAGTGAATTATCTGATGGTGGTTATTCATTTCAGGAACAACATAAGAGGGTACAAAGTAATTGGCTGTCTTTGTTGAGGTAAACAAACACATTTGCTGGCTGCCTGAAGGTCTCTGCTGCCAGCATGAGTCCAACATGTTCATGTTCTGTGTTTATGAGCAGATGTAATGTTATATTACCAGTGACATAATCATTTTTTGCAAATCAAATAACCATTTTCTATTTCAACTTTGGCCTTTAAAAAAAGACTTACATAAGTACACGTATAATGTCATTACTTGAACTGTAGCTTGAGTTCATGAGACAGAATTCTGAGAATTCTTTAACAGACAAATTCCCTGGAGGGAACTGGCTTTTGGTTGCGAGCCCAAAACCTCTTATTTAATTTACTTTACATATCCCTCCATCCATTTGTCTCAGATACTCCCTACATTCTTCTGCTCCTACTCTAACTGTTGTTTCTTGGGTAATTTCAATCATACCTCGTGTTAGTGACTGAAGCCAGATCACATACAGTACTGTGTAACTCGGTTGGATACAAAGTATCTTGAGTAAAAACACCGCATGGTGAATGTGACCCTCAGATCTAATGTATGACAGGGAAGAACCTCAACTAGAGGACAACATTTCCAGGACAACAAAATTAAAACTGTATGCTTCTTACCAGCGATAGGTGGACCAGCTGTCATGGGAAGAGCCATGAGGCCAAGAAGGTAGCCAATGGCCTGAGAGGCCTGCATGGGCCCAACCAGCTCAAAGGCTATAGGGGCCATCATGGTCAGGACGCAACCGTCGCACAGGCCTAGGAACACACAGACCACTGCCAGCCCCTCAAACATAGAGCACTGAGGAATCATTATGGACAACAAGCCCATAACCAAGAAGGAGGCCACCTGAAACAGACAATGGTAAGAACAACACTCGAAATACACTTAGAAGAATACATATTTGAAGGGTGGTCAACATTTGAACTACAGGAATATCAAGGAGGTTAAGCACATTTAACACAACAAAGCTGCACAGGGTGCTGAACAAATGAACTAATACCAAAATTTAACGTAAAGAATATTTTACCCTAACCAATGAGCACTAGTTTTCTCACCTGCATGTAGACCTTCTTAAGACTAGGGAGGAGGTCTCCAATTTTTCCAAAAGCAAGACGCCCCACACCAGATGAGGCTCCTATGCAGGTCAGGAGAACCCAGTCCTTGTCGGTGTCCTTGAACTGCTGCTTCACAAAGTTGATCTTGGAGGGAAAACATACATAGCACTGTGTGAGATTTGTCTGTTGTTTAACATAATGGGATCATGCTGCATAAATAACATTCAGATGAGATTACAAAGATGTTGCACAACCTGGGGCTGAATATTTCTCCTGTTTTTGTTCTCGTTGCCAAAGAAATCAATGAACTCTAGGAGTGGGAGTGTTGTTGGAGGAGTGGTAGATTTGTCCATTCCTCATCCAAAAGGCGTGGCTTTAAAAATAAAATGTCTTCGCCCACCAAACTTTAGAACAATTTGATAAGGTGACACAATGCATATAAGGTCAAATTCCCTCGACTTCCCAATGCCCTGACCAGTCGGTTCCAATGCAAAACATGGAACCACCCTCTGATGTCTATCCTTAAAAAAAGATTTCAAAATATTTGCTCTGCTTTGAAGGGCTCTACGTCCATCAATAGCCATAGGATAAGCATGTTTAGGGATATGGAGCGCCATACAGGAGAGGTTTCCTGAGGAGGCAGAGCCGATACAAAGGCCGGGGCTGTGTTTACATCTGGACCCAGGCCTGAAACAACAGGACTGACGGAGGGAGGCCAGAGCTGGAACATCCGACATCTGGATAGAAAAAAATGAACCTCGCAGATTCAGGCTAGAGCTTTACATACACTTCTTCTCAATCCTTCACAAAGCAAAATGATTTATTTTAAAGTCCTGCCACTAACTGTGTAGTCAGGTGTGGCATTAAAATATATGGACCAGGCAAGTGTCCAGATCTGGTTTTTGTAAGTGGTTAGATGAGTTTATAATCATGCACTAAATCTGGAAGCTGCTATCAGTAAAGATTCAATCAATAACTCAAGCTATGTGTTTGAAATGTTCAAGATTGAAATAACCTGGATCAAGTATGACGACAACCCAGACTACAACCAAAAAGAAAAGTCTAATCTTACAGACCAGTATTACATCAAATGCAATTCTATCACCAGGCAAAAACATTCATTTGTAAAGCCCGAGTTTGTGTAACTCTACATCATGGACTTACCAGATGTACATATGGCACAAAGTAGCCCAGAATAGCTGTAGCAATTCCAAATGCCCAGAGACGATATGTCAAGTTGTGAAATACTCGCAGGTTGAAGTATTTTCTGAGCGTTTTCACAATCCTGCTGCATTTGCTTGTGCCCTGAGCCCCAGACTGGTTTTGAAGCTCCCCAGGGTCAGGTCCCATCCCTGGTGGTCCCATGCCTCCCCCAGAAGGGAGTAACGGTTTGAACGTCAGTGCCAGGAGAGCTTGGACCAACATGAACAGGCTGAGGATCTGGAAGGTCCTACTGAGCCCCAGAGAACCAACCACATTGTTGAGGAGAACTGGGAGGACCATCGAGAAGATGCTGGCACCTGCCGTCACCACGCCATTAGCCAGGCCTAGGCGTCGTCTGAAGTAGTGGCCAAGGATGACCAGTGAGGGCTGGAACGCAAAGGAGCAGCCGCAGCCGAAGAGTATGCCATAAGTGAAGTAACGAAGGCCTAGGGAGCTGCAGGAAAGTGAAGAAAAGGGAGGAAGACATGAGAAAGGCATGAGTAAAGAAACATCTCTTTCAGACCCTAGCTCTCTCCATCCCTTATATGACACGAGTCTATGGAGGTAATAAATTACAACAACTAAGTGAGGCCATTAAAAATACAAGATTTACTTTGCAAATGATGTAGTCAGCAATCCAATAAAAGCCAGTGCTGCCCCACAGACCGCTGTCTTTCTACAACCAAAGTGGTCAGTGAACATGCTGGCCACAGGGGAACAGAAGAAGATCATGCCCATGGCCAGGGCTCCGACCCAGGCTGTGGAGGGAGAGGAGAGAGGAGACAAACCTTTCACTTTCACAAAAGCATTACAATGCAATCATGTCTCTACTTGTATTTATTATTTGAGTACATTGATATGCTGTATTTTCCGGACTATACGTCGCTGTATAGTGTAAGTCGTACCAGCCAAAGAATGCATAACAAAGAAGAAAAAAAAACATATATAAGTCACACCGGGGTATAAGTCGCACCAGTGCCCTCTAGCGGCAGTGTGAAAATAACGAACATGTGAAATTATATTTTTCAATATATAAGTCACACCTCACTATAAGTCGCAAACCTAGCCAAAGGATGAAAAAAAGTGCGACTTAAAGTCTGGAAAATATGGTATGTGTAGTTCAATTCAATTCCATCAGAGTGAGTGAAAAATGGGAGGACACATATTTCAACACATTTTTCAGTGCTTAAATGATTCTAACACTTCACTAAAACCTGGCACATTGACATTAGGGAGTTACAATAATGTGAGAAAAACTTCCAGAGAAGTTGGTGAACTTTCTCAGCCACAACATATTTTTATTCAATTATACAATGCTTCCTGTCAAAGTTCTCAGACGGAAACTGTGTATGAAAGACCTCAGCTGTTAAACAATGGATGGTCATGATTGTCTGGTTCGCCTCATCATGGTCCGTCATGGTCAGTAGTAAACAGACCTGAATTCCGGAACTTCTTTTATGAATAATTTGGCCTGGAATTGTCACAAAATACTCTGTCGTTTATAAAAATAATTTTGACTAGAGAACATGCCATCTAATACAGGTGACTGGTACAAATGAATGTAATAAAGCTGGTTGGCTGCCTTACATAATGCAGAATACATAGGAGCCACATGACAAGATTTTCCATGTGGATTAAGCATTTCAAAAACCAGATCAAAGTGCACAGTTCTGGTCTGTGGTGTAAAGCCGTCCAGTTTAATAAAACAACAGGAGCCACAAACATCTAACACAGACACTGCGTACCCGAAACGTGCAAACAAACACATGTCTGTGTCTAGTATCCTGGGGACCAAAGGTAGCTTTAATGTCTAACATCTGAGTCTGGGCTGTGGGTCACACTGATCTAGAGTATCAGTGAGAATGTGACCAGACAGATAGGTAAACAGTGGGTGGAAAGATTTACTCACTTGGACACACACAATGAAACATCATGAAACATGAACTCCGCCATTGTCGGCAGTTTCTCTGTACTATACATGCTGTATAAATGTGACACAGCACAATACAAAGTCAAATTCTGTGTAAGTAAGGGAGTGGCGGTGCCCCAGGCCTTCCTATGATTTATTTACCTAAAGAAAGGTTTAGTTCTGCTGTTTCGTATGTACTTAATGAACTACTGTTCCAGGTCCAGGCCCGAAAAACAATGACAGAAAAACCACGTTACCCTGTCTAGAAAAGCAACTCAAACATAGAATAAAAATTTAATTCTTGCACAAAATGTGTGTATTTGTGCTAAATAAAATTAGAATAACAGATCTTTTTTATAGTCCAAAAATCTAAACGTTCATTTTCCACATTCACTTTACATAACTGTAGACCTAACCTAAAGGGCTGTACAGGACTCTCTGGTGGTGCTTAAGCATCAAATCTGTGGTGGATGGTGTTTTTGTAACTTTCTTTAACACTTCAGCACATGCAAATGTCTCTTCTTGTCTTTGCTGTTTGTTGACTTTGAATAACTGCTGTTTGGTGTTAGGCAGCCAGGGTGCAGTAACATAGAACTCTAACCCAGATAAACACTGAACACAGTTAAAATGAAACACATTTTAACTGTGTGAAGACTTGCCAACATCTAGCAAACTAAATATTAGCCTTCCTATCCTAGCAAAGGAAGAACATAAAAGTGATTGCCAACTGTTCTTTGTCTCTACATGGATTACTCAGTGTAGCCCTTAGCACACCTGCCTTACACGTGGGGGGTTGGTGGTTAAGGAAGCAGAAGTGGTCCGGAAGGTTTCAGATTCAAGTCCACCAGCTGCCAAGAGGCCTTGGGTTTGAACCCTGGAGGAACCGCATATCCTTAATGCCGCCTCCTGTGTGGCACCCTGTGTGGGTTGCAAAGACTCACACTGTGAATGTCCCCATTATGGTAGGAATAAAGGTTATATAATTATTATTAATTATTATATGTGACCCTGTAGTGTCCAGTGCAATTTGATTCGTCATCTATCAAAAAATTCTGTTCACTGATATTAATAAAATAACTCTTTCAATGATGCCACAAAGAAAATGCCAATAAATCACACTGTGTCTCATAGCAGAATTGTTAAGAAGGCAGGATTCACACTAATGCCCTGCGGCCTCAACAGTGTGCACAAAGACATGGTGTAATAAAACAGAAGGCCTTAAAATTTAATGCCATATGCACAGAGATTTAAAGTTCAGCTCAAACTTCCTGACAGAATTAGGTCATTTTTAGTCGCAGCAGTAAGTACCGAGGGAGTCGTTTATCCGTTGATTAAATAACTTGGGCTTCTCATCTTACAGCTTTATTGATGGTTCTGTCATTTATGTCAAGATCTAGTATATCAGTCAGCTGTGAATGCGACAACAGCACATGTGTATACCTGGTGATCTGCTTTCTGTCATGTGGTTCACTTAATAGAAGGTTAATTACATGTGATTTTATATTTACAGTCCTCTACTTATTACTACCTCATCTCAGGATTTCTCCTACTGCACTTAAAGTATTACAAAAACCTTTATCCAATCACTTACACTAAACTTATTCACCGGGAAATTATACTGTGTTAATAGAATCCACGTCAGGGGAGGAACAGCAAGCTACATGCTGTGTAGAAGAATTGTTGCAGTGTTTGTTATTTACATTGTCCTCTCGTTTTTGACTGGATGAATGGATGGGTATTTGAAAACTGCTAAGGCTACTATAAAAAAAGGACAATACTGTATAAAGGAAGTTTGGTCAGTAGCCAACAGAACTGCAGACCCATTCAGACCCGTAGTCTCGACTCTTTTCTTTTCAACCCACATTCCCCATCTGTTGACAAGTGAAGTTCTCTAAATAGGCAGAAAAGAGTGCATTCATTATAGAAGATTAGTCTTGAACAGCTTCAAACAGAATTATAAAGAGAGCAGAGAGGGCGGCTGGAAACTCTGTGTCCGTGAGTGTGTCCGTGTGTGTGATGGATTCATTGTGACAGCAAGAGAGAGACGCGAGACTCTGTAGGACCCGCAAGTACTGTACACTAACGGAAAAAAAATCAAAAATACAGGCAGGCTTTTAAAAAGAGAGCACCATTTTATGATTCAGATGCTAATCCTGGTGTATAGGCAGTGAGGGCAGAATAATTGGAATTTGCGATTGTGTGTGTCATTCATTGAGTGTAAGTAAAACCTAACGAAATCATTGAAGCTCAAGTTAAAGCATTTCTAAATAACCGGTGATAGAAATAAGCAGAGTCTTGGGAATTTGAAGGAGTTGGTACAGGCTTTTTATGTCTCGTAATAATTACATGGTCAAGGTTAAAAAAACATGAACGGAAAATTTACAGCTAGCCCTAAATAGAACACACAATTCTGAAGTTTACTTTTTCCACATTATTTCACAAATGTTCGACTGTTTCTAAGTAGGCCTACATGCAAATATTGCACATCTTGTACAACTAAAACAGGAAGATTAAATAATTAGATAAAATAGATGTAAACCAAACAGTAGCTTGGTGTTAGATGAGAAACTGCTGTGAGTGTTGGTGAAAGGAAGGTTGGGTAGTCACCAAAGGTTAATACATCCTTTCAAGCATGAGATCCAAGGTTTAATTTAAGGATTAAAGTCTGAAGTAGTTACTGCCAACTCCGACTAAAAAGGAGCCCTGGTGTTGCTCATCTCTGTTTGCCCATCAGTTTGCTGATGAGTTTTACTATTAGCAAGCAAGCTAAAGAGTTATCTGGGTGGAAAAATAGAACAAGAAAATGTCTCAATAGCTTTTCGCCTGTGCTTGTTGGTGCTTTTTTTTCTGCACATTTGCTTTGCAAGTAAGCTGATCTGTCTTTTCAGCAGCAAACAGCAGTATATTAACTTTTAGTAAAAGCTTTAGTTAAAGAGGATTGTAGAGTGGACCAGATGTTCTGGTTGTTTAGATATATGTTTGGTTATTTGTTTATTTGTTTGTTGGGCTGATTGGTTAGTTAGTTGGTTAGATGGATGATTGTCAAGCTAGTTTTATGGTTGCTAAGTTTTTTGATGTATGAGCATTTGTTAAGGCAGTTGGTTGGTTATTCAATTAACTGGCTGTAGATTTGTTTGGTGGTTGGATGTGTAATCAGGTTGGTTGTTTGACTGACATGTTGTTGGTTATAATCATCTGTCAATGTGAGATTTAGCAGCAGGATTTCTTTGACTGCCTCGGGTGTCTCATAGCATATTAAGTGTTCATCTTTATTACATTGGCTCCAGCTTTAAATTACCCTGTAGGTTAATGGAATACCATCTCTTATACAATAAATTTAACAGAAGCATTCTATCCCTTTGTTTCATTTCTGCTGGATTGTGTGTAAAGCTCCTAATGGCTCTACTCTGACCAGAACCCATTCCTTTGTCTACTGGAATGTCAAAAATGCTCCAGCAGTCCCTGATCTGCCAACCTGGGATTTCAACCATGTACCCTGGAGATGTTGAAGCAATCAGGGCAACGGAGTTACAGTGCACAGAGCATAGCATTATGTAAATGCAAAGAATTGTGTGTGAACCAATCGTGCTTAACCCTGGCAACTTTTTTTAATCTAATTCCATGTTTGGTTCACTGTATGTTAACCACGACTACATTTATTTAATGGCCTTTATCATTCACTTCTGTTTAGCATGGATCTAAAAGATGTTGTGTAATTGTTCCAACACTTCACTAAAAATGTTGTTGCCTTCTTAAAACATTTGTCTTTTGTTATCCGTCTTGGTTATGCTCTGCATGTGTCTTCAGGTTTTTACTCAGGACATCTTTTGGAAGGAACTTTGAATTGGATATTGTGGAGAGGTTGGACTCTGCTAAGCTGTGTTCTACTCTTTCTGAGAATAAAGATCAGAACTCAGTCAACTGCTTAATCCTTGCTTAAGAAGTGCAGCTAAAGACAAAAGCATTGCTAAACCTAGAAAAAAACAATACAAGGATCTGTAGCAGCGTTAAAGCTGCTAACTGGTTCTAATGATGTTACTGAATTTGATACATCTTGCTTTAAAAACAAAAAGTTATTTAACAATCTATATTAAAACCAGATTTCTGCAGTGCCTCTGGTTGTATGAATTCATTGATATGAATGGTCCCTTGTTGTTTACATTGTATAGTAGATGGATGTGGTTTCATATGAATCCGGGAATACAACCATTCAGCCGTGGTGTAGCTTTTTTCAGGCTTAATGAGTTAATTGTTACTGGCACGTCTACCACACAAAATCCAAATGTAATTAGAATAGTCAAAGATGAACATTTCCTTCAAGTAAACTGGGAAATAATAGGCCGCACTACACTGGTCCAATGTGCATTCAATGTTCACTTACATATACAACTTAAAAAAGCCAGATGTATAAATGTTTTTGTTTTTTTCACTTGCATTCTCCTGATAATAGAAGCAAAGTACTCAAGATACTCCAAGTAAGTGTACTACAAACCTTTCTGACCTCAAGCA